TTTCTGTAAAGCAAATTTACCTTGCCTATGGGTATAAATAAAGTTACCTTGACCTTGACCTTGACCATGTGCCTGATCTAGCAAGCACTTGTGAATAGGGGTACTACTGTATTCTGAATCATGTACAGAGAAAGCTGCTTTGATCAAAGTACAACTGTTTAAAGTAATAATAGAAACAGTACCTTAGAGCTCCTCTGATTAGACTTGCAGATAAAACCCAACAAGATGCTGACCAGTTCCTGCAGAAATCCTCTGGTCATCTCCTCACCGCCTGAAGCTGGGAGCAGGTCTACACACACACACACACACACACACACACACACACACACAATCCTTTCATAAATGTCAGGTGCCTAAATACTATTTGTTACTTGTAAGATGAAGCATGCACCAAAGCCAGTGTTTCCAATCAAACAACTTGATGCCTTAAAAGCACCACTATAGGTATGAAAGGTATTGGTTAATGGAATGTGGGTCATTAGAAAAAAGAAATTGATTAAATATTCTATAGAAAATAGTCAGACATCAATTAAATTCAGTTTAATTCAATTTTATTTATATAACTCCCAATCACAACAACAGTCCATCTTTGTGGACAAGTTGTGGGAAGCCCCCAGGAAATTAGGCCTATCCCAGCATAACTAAGCGCTGGCCCAGGGCAGCCTGAAAAAGGAAATCCTAATAATTTAATCCTAATCTTAAAGTAGAGAGGGTGTCTGTCTCACGAATCCAAATTAGGAACTGATTCCACAGAAGTGGGGCTTGAAAGCCGAGGGATCTGCCTCCCATTACACAATTAAATATCCTAGAAACAACAAGTAAACCAGCGGTCTAAAAAGCAAGTGCTCTATTAGGGCGATATGGTACTGTGAGGCCTTTAAGATAAGAAGGGGTTTGATTATTCAATACCTTGTAAAGTTAATATGGGAATAATATATGCTTCCTCCTTCTAGTCCCTGTCAGTACTCTCGCTGAAGCAGTTTGGTTAAATTGAAGGCTTTTTTCAGGGAGTTACTAGGACATGCTGATAATGAATTACAATCTTCCAGCTTAGACATAATAAATGCTTTTAGCATCACTCTGAGACAAGATGGCAGCTCTGGAGGCCAGGATCACTGAATTGGAGACCCAGCTTCGTGCCCTTGAAATATCTGTAGCTAGACAGGCCCTGTAGCCGGTGCAGTCGAAGGTAGCGTAGACTGTTACAGCACATGAGTTAATAACTGAACAACAAATCATAAACAAAAAGCTGTAGTTTAAGTATAAATGTTGTTTTCAATAAATTGCATGCTCAGAAAATATTTTGTCGCACTCCCATTTCTTCTTGTTGCATGTTGAAGCTCTATACTTGTAACCAACCATGCAAAATGTGATTTTTATTGGTATTTGGGAGCCATATTCATGCAGACAGGAGCCGGGCTTTATTTTGATGGGCACACCATGTGGCCAATACAAATATAGATGGGATCATACCATTATGTAAAAGAAAGGGGGGGCGACATTTTGAAGACAGCTACACAGAGAGACGGGGGAGTCAGATTTAAATGCAAGCGTGTTGGGAAAAAGTAAAGAAATGAGGAAAAATGTAAAATGAGCAGCATCTGGCTGAATTTCAATGACGTTGGAGACTGCAAACCTAAGTGCAGAATTTATAAAATTAGGAGCTGGCTAAAGTGATACCCATTTTTCAGCCATTTTCCACCGTGGAGGACAAAAGGTTTCAGGTTTCAGACGGAGCCGTGGCTCATTGTCTGAGTGTCTAAATGAGTCTCACAGGCCTTAATGTGTGTTTGAAGCCATTTATAATTGTTAACTTGTTTGATCTGCTGCTCACCACAAATAAGCACCAACAGAAACTTTGGACTTTTGACTGTATTTTTACAAGTTTTACAGCTTTTCCTACTGATAAAAACCTCCCTTATGGCTGTTCATTAAACACTAAGTAACTAAGCCATAAACAATGAAATGGCAGAAATGTTTCACTTTCTATTATAGAAATTTCCTTTTTTTATGACTACAGTTAAGAAAAGGGCAGTCTGGGCAATGAGCTACCAGAACCTTTTCTGTAATTTTACAGATTTATTTATTGAAGTTCAAAGTCTTGCTGACAGATTTCTTCTTTGTCACAGCAACTTTTTTTTATTATGCAGAAAAACTGTTCAAATGTAACTTCTTTCCACTGACAGAAAGAGGAGTTTCACTGGTTCAGGCCACTAAAGATCAAAGTGGGCAGTATGTGGCCTGTGATGTAAATTTAGTTTGACACCTTTAGTGCAAAACGAGCATCAAACAGAACTGGTCCAACCATTAATCTTAGTGTGTGAAGAGGACTCTCCATTTACATTAACAAACTGGAGTCTATTAGATAGATATGACACAAACCACTGCAGTGCAATACCTGTAATACCTACAGCATGCTCTAATCGCTCTAATAGGATATTATGGTCGACAGTATCGAACGCTGCGCTGAGGTCTAGCAGGACAAGCATAGAGATGAGTCCACTGCTCTTATGGTCCAGGTAGGAAATGGTGTGCAGAGGCAGCACTGTTGTATAATCTGTGGATCTATCTGGCCTGTAGGAAACCTAAAAAGGGTCAAGTGTAGCAGGCAGTGAATATGTGCTATGAGCTTTGACTGTATGCTTATAACCATGGAGGTGAGTGCTACTGGGCAATCATCATTGAGGGAGCTCACACTGGGTTTCTTCAGAACAGGGATGATAGTGTTATTCTTGAAGCATGAGGGAACTACAGACAGCAGCAGGAAGAGGTTAAAGATGTCTGTGAAGACATCTGCCAGTACGTCAGCAGCATGGTATCATGGTGTGGCAATGCAAGCAGTGGTGCAGAACACCGCTGTAAACTCTCTGGGCAGATAAAATGGCGAGGTGTTCACGATCAGGAGAGAACCCTTATGAAACTGCTTGTACATCCACACACCTGTTTTATGCACACATCAATTCCCCTGCACTTACCCAACTTCTTTGTACAGTCCTAACGATTATTGAAAAAACAGAAAGGCCCATTGGAGCAATGGTCAAGTCAGAGACTGTGGGATCCACCCATGTCTCTGTAAAATTAAAGACGTTACAGTCCTTAACAGGACGTAGTTCGTCTAGCTTGGCGTTAGCTAGAAGAATGCTGGGAAGTGGAGAACGGTGTTGTCTGTTCCTCAGTTTGACCAGGACTCGAGGTTTTTTCAACCCTTTTCCATACCCACGTACAGTCAATTGGTGTGGTTCCTGATTGTGAATATTTGAGGACATCTAAAAGAGTATCTGTCATAGGTGACCAGTGCATTGCATGCTAAAAAAAAATAGCGCTACACGACAAAAATGCTAAACTGAGGAGAACACCAAGTGATGGCAGCCATCCCCACTGGTGCCATCTTACTAACAGACTGCATGTGCATTTGAGAGTTTTACCAGGGAAGAAAGCGTCTGATTTGATGCTTTCTTTAGTATCCAGAGTTGTATGATGTGAAGATGTAATGCAGTTAAAAAAGATAATTGGCCTCTGTCCGAGCAGTGTTCAGGTAGCTGCTCTGCACTGTGTTATATGGAGTATTTTACCTACTTTACACAATTCACTTTACATAACTGGCCTCACTCACCTATTCATTCAAACACTTTTTTCTATGCTTTTAAGTGCTTTCTATCTAACATTAACACACATTCACACTTTGGTGGATGCAACTTGGGTTAGTGTCACGGCCTTTTATGTTCCAAACACCAAAAAAGTCCAAGAAAAGGCC